ACAATTACAACTACTACTACTACTACTAATGATAACAATAATATTAATAATAATAATGCAGACAATTTTCTAAATCTAATCTTAGTGCCACTTTTTTAAATCTCAGTTTATATTATATTAAAAAATATTCTACTGTCAAAACTCTTCATTTCACATCAGTTGAACTATATTAAAATTTATTTATTTTTATCATTATGCTATGCTAATTCAGGAACTTGTCGTCATTATCATACTATTAGCTTTAATATTAAAATGTTGCAAGACCTAAATAATTTGAATATACTGTAAACAGGGACTATTGTACACAAATATTACTTTATGTTGTCTTCTTGTCTGTCTCATTTGAATGTTTTACCTAATTTACTGTCATGCTGACTGACGAGACAAACGGTTTTAAACATTTAATCATAATATTTACATATTACATATTTTATATCAAGATTTAACAAATAATTAGATTTAAGTTAGAGTCAATTAAATGTGGGGTAATATCTGACTAAGATCACTCTAAAAACAATATTCTTGTTTTTAAAGCTATTGGCCAAACTCTAATTCACCCAAATAAAAATAGGTATTTTTATTTCACTCTTATATTATCTCCTTATAATGCTTAGATTATACAACATTTTTCTTTTATAACAAATTTTCTATGAACAGGAACGTATGCTCCAAACACTGAACATATAGTAAATATATATGAAACTATTTTTGATTAAGAAGAACAAAAAAAAACGTTTATTTAAACGATCGCCTCTTGTTATGGACACTGTAACGTATTGCAACAACAACAATAATAATAATAATAATAATACGTTTTTTCTTTTTTTCATTATTGCTATAATATTTCTAAAATCCAAACTCCTGTGTTTGTATATTGATCTATTTTTTAGGAGTATTAGTTTTAAGACAATATTTTCAAAAAATTAAAATTTCATCACATTTAGATTTCAACACTTAACTTTTCATTTTAAATGTTTATCTCTTTCTTCAAATCTTATTTACCTGTAAGTGAATAGTGTTTTCAATAATGTTTGTTCATGTGTGCGTGTGTGTGCGTGCGTGTGTGTGTTCACGTGTTAACAAAATAATCAGTTAAGGGCGAAAGTAACGTTGTCGTGTGTGAATCAGTGATTATTTTTTCTAATTGAAGTTATTTTCTTCCACTTGTGACGTGCAATTATGTGACAACACGTCCGCGAGCACGTTATCAAGCGCTGGCGTGGAAAAGGGCGCGCGCACGCGTTAAATAACCTGCGCAGAGATAGGAGAAAAAGTATGATGTCTTACTACTCGGCGCATTTTAAAACCTTGAAGAGGAAAAAGCCGGAAAAATCGGCAGTGACGTCACATAAGTGGCAGCTCATTGGCTGCACGATGGCAGAGAGGCCTCTCATTGGTCCGACGACTCCAAGTCCCGTCTCCAGCATGTGACGTAACACGTCGGGCAAGAAGCTACAGCTCGAAGCTCCGCCTCCTGCCAGTAGACCGGCTCTGATTGGACAGACGCTTCAGGACCAGGCTCGGTTCGGTTTCAAGGAAAGAATTTTGCTGCCACACTAAGGAAACACTGTGAATTACATTTTATTTAAGAGCTTAACATTAACAATAAAAACAAACAAAAAGTGTTCTCAAACAACCTTCAAAAACGTGTTCATGCATTTTTTTTCCTTTATAAAAAAAAAAAAAAATAGACACCATTTGATCAGACTTTCAAATGACGGAAATTGATTAAAAAGCTTAAAATGATAATGCAAAATAGTCATGATTTTTTAAAATTAGATAAAAACGCTAAAAACAAGCACCTGTCTTAAATGAGGCCGACTGATCAGAGGCTGAGCTCCAGAACTCTGCGCGTCAGGCTGAACTGGGACTGGGCCGCCGCCGCCGCTCTTTACATTGACCTTCGATGTCTCTGAGGCCGCAGCCTGCAGCCCCAGACCTCAGAAACATCTTCAGGAACATCTTGAGGAACATCTTGTAACACCACGAACATCAGCTCTTTATAATCCGAAGTGAAAGCGTCCTCTGTGCTCCGTTCAGCGCCTGATCCTTCACCACATTCTGCTCTGGGATATCTCGTTCGTTCGGCTTAGATATTGCAAGACACTAATAATTTGTCTTTAAGGCGTTTGCGATTGGAACAAAAGCTACTCTCACGTGCATCACGGGGCCAAACACGCAAATAAAAAGGGAAGAAATGCGTAAATTTGGCAGAAAAAGGCAAATTTGCGTCAGTTTTGAGGTTTTTCTTTGGTGTTTGTACTGAATGAATAAAACCTTTCATTTAAAGGATTTGTTGAAATAATTAGAATTATTAGTATTTGTGTAGTCCGTGGGCTGCACAAATACGCATCATGCAAAAAAAATAATAATAAATACTCACATGCAACCCGAAGCAAATATCTTTCTCTTTTTTCTTTGTTTTTGTTACTCTTGCTTGGATCCAAAAATATATAAATAAACCTCTCAAAATAAGAACTTTAATCACGGCCTTTGGCTTTATACATTGCAAAGTTTAAACAGGCATGAAAATATATCTATATATCAATAAATATATATATATATATATATATATATATATATATATATATACAAAGATTGTCAGACTGGGTTTAATTCAAATCTCAAATAGTTAAAGCTTCTATTTATTTGTACAAATGTCCATTTATTCCCCTGTACTGAAGTCCACTTGAAGTCCGTTTGTCCCGCCGCGTGTGACTCCCAGACGAGCTCCTGACCGTGGAGTTGATCCGTTTCCCTCCCCAGTGTGCTCCACCTGGCCTCCCCATGGCTGCCTCGCGCTCTTGTCACCTGTGGATAAATCAACAGTTTGTCGGTGAATGTGGCTCAGATTGATCCACATCTTCAGGGCTCGCGCTTTTTGCGCTCTCAGTTTTTGTTTTTCCTCAGAGTCCCGAGCTCCAGTCGGATAACAACTCAAGTTCAACAGCGTTTAAAATATTTTCAGACTCGGGATTTTGGTGATCTTTTAATTTACATATTTCAAATGAGACTATTGAAGTTTTTTTTTTCTTTGTTTGCTTTGTCTTTTTTTAATTTTATTCTCATGCGTCGTCGGACATGTTGTTTTTCTCCTTTTAAGAAACATCACAATTCCTCCACATCTTGAGTCACAAGAAGCTTTTCACTCGCAGGTGTGGTGGCCTACTTTTCCCATTCACACATGAAAACAAAACGAGCTCTGGCCTCTTTATTTCACTGAAAGACTGGAACTCCAGGAGGTGTCCTGCAGCACTTAATTCAATTCAATTCAATTCAGTTTATTTATAGAGCGCCAAATCACAACAAAGTTGTCTCTGGGCACTTTACAGGAACATTCACATACATAAAAGCCAATTAGTGAAGTTCTCTATCTAAGGAATCCAGCAGACAAGTTGCTCCCATTAATTAATTAATTAATGCTCCCATTAGCCTCTGGACGTACCTGTAGTGGCTTTACACTGTACTTTCAAACCCTTCCATGCGCTCTTTATTGTTTACTTGTTGTCTGATGAGGTTTTATGGCACAATGAGACCATCTATATGTCTCATTCACTTTATAACCACATCACCGCGCTCCTAAAGGTCCATCTCCTCAGAGTTGTAGCTTAATTCTCGCCGAACGCGTGCGTATTTTACATTTAATATATAACTCACATTAGAGAGGCTTGCAGGGAATAAAACAATGTGCCTGAGTAAATATACGGATTTGTCTGTCTTTGTGTGCAGTCTGCTGAGAGCTCCGTTTCGGTTATTTATTAGCAAAACCTCAAACAGACCGCGAGTTAAAAAGACCTTTATGCAGTTTCCTTTGGATATTATAATAAAAAAAATGTTTGCACTTTATCCGTATTGTGTATTATGGAGTTCTAGTGAGCAAAAACACTTCAAGGTTGAATTATTTAGATCTAGAATAAAATCCTGGTGACGCTCGTCCATGCAATGATCAATCCGAGGGGAAAGTTCATTTAATGTTTTTGTTTTCATACATGGCGGTTCCACTTTTTAACCAAACGTGCAAGCCAAAGCCTGGTTAGATGCAAAGGGTAATTAATCTAACTCCATCCGGGGCACAGCGGGCCCCTTGCTCTCTGTGAAAGACCTTCTCTTCCTCCCCCGACCTTGAAGTCGACCGTAAACAGACAAAGCGTTGGCTTTGAGAGCTTTTACGCAGGGAGCAGGTCTGCAGAGAACCAGAACCAGAACGCAGACCAGAGGATTTCTTTTAATAAAAACCACACTTGCCATAAAGTTGGAGCTCAGATCTTCATTTCTTCCTCATAAATGAAGTCGAAACTGTTTTTTTAATTTTTTTTATTATTATTATTATTTTTTTTTTACAGAATCAGACTTGAGCTCAATATTTAGTGTAAAGAGGAGTCTTACCTCAGCTCGGCGGAGACAAAAGTTTCTGTCTGTCATTGAGTTTGCCCATGCAGCCGCTGACTTTGAGACCGCGTAGGTGGCGACTTCCTATCACGCCTGGTCAGTTTTGTGGTGTCTGTCTGGCTTGTGTGTGTGGTGGTGGGGGGAGAAGGCGCAGTAGAACACTATGGCAGCTATAAAAAACGCAGGTCTGTGCAGCTTTGGTTTTCCTGGGCATCCTGTCCCCAATTGCAGCTGAAAAGCTTCAGTTCAACTGGTCGAATTTGTCTGGATGGACCGAGAGGCGGAGTGAGTGTCCGCGCGCTTTAATCAAATAAAACTAGGATGGCTTTGATTCACGCGATGCGTTTGTGGGTACTGTTTGAGTGTTATAATAGAGTGTGTGATTTCTTCATACGGGTTTACCTTTGAATCCCACACCGGGCTGTGGGGGCCATGCAGACCAGCCACGGTGATCTTAATCCGAGGCTCAGGTCTCTCATTCACAGCACATTAGAGTCAGGTTGCAGCCGCTCTAAAACTAGCTTCATGGTGGCCCAAGAGCAGAGCAGGGAGCTGGGGCATGTGCATTGGGGCTTGTTTTACCTATTCAAATATCAGAAATCCATTTTAGCTAATTTCTTATAGGATTTTATTTTTTGGCTCCAGCTGAGTCACGTTTGGTCCACTAATGTTGTTTCAACCACAGAAATCCGTATTGGAGTTCACAGATTAAGCTCACAATGAAATACACCATAAACAAAGCTAAATACAAACATATTACATTTGTATCCATCTTGTTCTGTATCCTGAACTGCATTCTAATAACTCAATGTCAGAATAACATGACAAGTTGTTGCACCAAAAATATTTATATACTGCAGCTTATGATGATAAATCCCATTCTTTAAATAAATTATGTTGTTATATTTCAAACTGTAACATTAAATCACAAATGCAAAATGCTGCAATTTTACAAGACACTTTCTTTTTACAATTTGCTACTGTTTTTGTCTGAGCCCAGATTTTACGCATGACGTTTTAATCGTGTAAGAATGAAAGTGCAACGCCGTGAAACTGGTCGACAAATATATGAAACAGAGTACTGGGTTGTCTTGGTAATTCCTCAGAGTTATTTCCTTGCAAAACAGCCGACTTTTGAATTTATATTTTGACAAGAACGCGGCGATTTAGCCGTGCGTAAAAGTAGAGAGAGCTTGAATATTTTATTTAGGCTGCGTGCGGATTCATAAAATTTAAATACGAGTCAAAACAAAAACTTTAGTCAAACATATTTTTAATAAATAAGCTTTTTATTCATTTTTCGACAAATTCAAACAATGAAATTGCAGCAAGACACCGACTGCTGAGAGCAGAAGAGAAATAGTATTTTTGGTCCGTGCGTAATTTCCTCCAAAGATGCCTCCTTTTGGTTATATTTATGTTGACAGAAGATATAATATAACAATATTTCTGGACCTTATATAGTCAATGTGATATATGTTATTGATAAAGCTTATTCATTGAAATTAACTAAACTAAAGGTCAAATTTGTGGATTTAAAGAACGTGTTTCCTGTGTTTCTTTAGCGAAAATCGCTCTTGGGGTTTTAAGCTGAATCCACTGATATCAGCTCACGCAGGGCTGCTTTCCGGTTGAAACATTAGCCGCTACTTTGAACATGACCCTGATAACCAAATGCTCACTGAGCCAAATGCTGTGCTGTAAAAGCACCAAATGATGATGACTAAGGCGAACTCCAAAAGCAACCTTGTAGAAGTAAGCTGCTCGTCTCCTTCATCCAATAAAGATCTGGGTTCTTTCCACACTGTAACAGCCTGTTGGATCAGTTAATGGGATTGTCAGAAAGGTTCGGGAAACTTAGCATACCACAGCCATTTTTCAAGTTTGGGTTGACCACAATAAAAAATAAATCAAGGAAATAAAAAAAAAGAACACACTTTTATGGGAACATTTTTAATTTGTTTAAACACATGTTGTGATTTTTGGCTAAATATGTTTATTTGAAACCATTTAAAAAAATACACAGTTTAGTGAGCGTTGTCCTTGACCTGGCTTGTGTAAATAAATCCTTTTGAATCTGACACGACATGAAACCACTAATATCAAGCTTTTGGACACGCAGCAGTCATGTCTACTCACTCCTCTTCCTCTTTCCACAGCGTACACACCCAGAGGCGTCCTCGCACGCACGCACGCGCGCCCCCACGCACACACAGCGCCTGAAAATCTGTCAATTTCTGCCGCGTGGTCACGTGGCCTCCTCCTCCTTAGTGGAGTAGATGGAGATGGCTCTCCACGTCAGCCTACGTCTCCAAATTTCTGCTTAGCGAACCTGCTAAGAGGCTCGGAGGCTCGGCGCTTCAGAGCCATGTTCAGGGCGGCTACAGAGGAGCCCAAGCCCAAAGAAGACTTCTAGAAGTGGCTCCAGCTTGTCGACATGATGGATTTTGACGAACGGGTTCCAGTCGGATCCAACATGTACTTGCCCAGTTGCACTTATTACGTGTCGGCGGGGGCTGATTTCTCCGGTCTCCCCTCGTTTCTGTCTCAGACCCCGTCCACGCGACCCATGACATATTCGTACTCCTCTAACCTGCCGCAGGTCCAACCCGTCAGGGAGGTGACGTTCAGGGACTACGCGGGCATCGATGCGTCGGGTAAATGGGCGCACCGGGGGAATTTGGCGCAATGTTACCCGGGCGCAGAGGACATGCACCGGGACTGTTTGTCGGCGCAAACCTCCGTTGTTGGGGAGGTGTTTGGGAAGAGAAGTCCTGCTGCTGCCGCCGCTGCTGCCGCCTACCACCACCACCACCATCACCACCACCACCACACGGGCGCTGCCGCCGGCTCAGCCGCCACCAACTTCTACGGGAACGTGGGCAGGAACGGCGTTCTGCCGCAAGCCTTCGACCAGTTCTACGAGACGGCTTACGGGAACGCGTCGGAGAGCTCCACGGCGAGCGCCCTCTCCTCAGGGGACAAAGCAACCAGCAAGCAGCCGGAGCAAGCTCCGTCCTACCGGGATCCCGAGGCGAAGGAGCAGCGGGATGACACGAGCAGCCCGGAGTTGTCTTCCGGCAACAATGAGGAGAAATCCAGCAGCAGCAGCAGCAGTACGTATTTAACGTCGGCGCCCTGCTTATGAGAGAAAGTTTGCAATGTTGCGCGCTGCTGTTAAAATTTTTATATGCTGTTTTATAAGCATATGAGGTTTATAGAGGGGCCTGTAGAGCCCCTCCACCCCCACAGCAGAACTTTGTTATAAACTGCATGGATCACGTGCTTGGAGTTGAAATTGGCCGTGAAAGAAAGACACCAAGTTGGTGTTTTCATATATATATATATATATATATATATATATATATATATATATATAT